AGTAAAAGCATCATTGTGGCTAAAAAGCCGTGCACCCTATCTCCATAACGAGAGACATGTAAAAAAAAAAAAAATAGGTAGCTTCTCTTTGATTGAGCGTGTCATCCTTAGTGCAGGGGCCATGCTAATCTTCTCTGTATATTTTCATTTGACCATATGCCCCGAAGGGCGAAAAAGAATCCTTAAAGTGCAATATAACATATTTCCGGCAGAATTGGACCGCCTACCGTTTCGGACTAGACATATATGAGTTTGCGAGGATCAACAAACTTCCAAGGTTGGAACTTGGGTTGTTATGTGCGGCTAATTGGCTGCTTGTTATGCGGTATTTGGCATGAAGTACATGTATTTAAGGGATCTAGGTGCTTCTAGTAGTAGAACACCTCTTTCCAGACCTTACTCTACGTACTAATGAAGTCTGGAGATTAAACTACATATACATTCATCAAACTCATAGGAAGAGGACCGATTGTTTCTCAATCTAGCTATCCATGATGATGTACAAATTAAGGAAGTCCTCAGGCTTGTCCCAAAGCCAATATCCACCAAAGATAAAATTCTAAGCACATTGCAGTGAGGTAATCTGATGACGTTTCAAAGACATCCATGTGTCCAGAGAAAGCAGATGCTCATGTCTTTTTTTTTCTTCTTTTTCGTTTTCTCCACAGATAGGCAGCTTGGCCATATCCCTGTCGTGAATATCATCAATGTGTTCGCAAAACAAATGTTGTGTTCTAATGTACTGTTCAGCTCACAGGCAACTTGCCCATATCACCCTTGCCGCCCTTGATCCATTCAGGGTCAACCAGGCGCTCGCGCTCCGCATACAATTGCTTGTAAGCACCACGAATGGTTCCATCACTGACGTGCGCAACCTGGGAAATCTCCTTGGCAGACTTGCCGTGGCCCATCAGGAACGAAGCCATGTAAATGCAAGCCGCAACAATAGACAGGGGAGAACGTCCGGCCAAGTCGCCCATGGCGGTAACGCGGTCCGAAAGGGAGACGGAAACACTGGTGACCTGGTAAGGGAGATCGAGAAGGTTGCAGAAACGATTGCAAAGATCGCTTGGCTTGGTCGAAGTAGTCGCGTTGTAATCGCCGGCAAAGTCGTGAGTTTCGCCATTTTCCAAAGCAGCATTGTGGCGCTCGACGTTCTGAGTGGTGAAAAACTTCTCTAGAGCCTTGTAGATGCGACCGATTTCTTTCCGAGTGACCTTGGTCACTGCAAAGATCTCAGTGAAGGTACGAGGAACCTTACACTGACGGCATGCGATGAAGATGCAACCGGCAATAATGACTTCCTGCGACTTGCCCTTGAAGGCCTTGGCGTCATCGACCATCTTGAATAGATACTTGGCGGTATCAGCGACAGTCTTCTGGATGTTGAAACCGTCGCACAAAGCACCAATTTCCTTGTAAGCTGCTAGGAGGGCCTTGTTCGCCTTCTCCCCCGACTGCTTGTTTTGAGCGCGGTACAGATCGCGGGCACGGCCAGATCCTCCGCTTGCGATGGAAGTCTCCAGTTGCGCGCCGTTGAGCAGAGGGTTCGAGGCGTCTCCGACACGGGAGGGGTCATCATTATTTTGGTCGTCGTTGGAGAAGGTACGCCATTCAGAGTGCAAGTCGATCTCACGGTCTGCGAGAACAAGTCCACAGGAACCGCAAACTGTCTCGTGGGAGTCGGGGAATTCCAGGTTCGGAGGATCCTCTTTGCATTCGGGACAAACTAGGTGAGCCGATAGGTTTTTCTTCCAAGGAGTCGCGACCTCCGGTTTCGCAAGAGTGGAAGTAGCCATATTTTGAGTTTTCAGGTAACTTGCGTGTCGATCGTGGCAACGCCTTGCAAGGACTTTTGGGGCTATACGGGGTAGACAGTATTTCTGATTATAATAGCGAAGGAGAAGTGGCGAATACAGCTTGGCGGCTGTAGTGAGGGAAACGAAAGCGGGCCACCTGCGGAAGGTCTTCAGCAAGGGAAAAGGTCGAAACTGGAAAAAAGCAAGTCGCTCAAGGCCACTGTTTTGCGCAGTCATGTTAGCTCAGCCCAAAGCAGATTCATTGTCTCCCGTATCGCAACGTTGTCTGGTCCTTCAACAATGTCATGCCAAGATATACTCGAACAAAGGAGCTTTCATTACCTTTCACAGGCCAGAGTCCTCGGGATTCGAAGGAGTCACCCCCAGCCGTAGAAAACACTTCACGATCTGCGCTTTCTTGGATCGAAAGTGGAACAGAAATCTCGCCTCAGCTTGTCCAGCCGTGTTGAACCAGTCAAGGTCTCCGCAAGAAGTCTCTCACGAAAATGGGGACAGGCTGAGGAGGAGAGAAAGAAGAAGCCGAGGACTGGGGGAGGATGAGGGAGACAATGGGATGAGGTGAGGCTTGAAGAGGCGGCGAGAAAGGCGCAGTCCAGATCGGGCTTAGTAAGTAAATCACGTGGCAAATTTGATGCGCTTTTATTGGCTGGGGAAGTATAGGAAGCTTCCAAGGTTTCCAAGGTTTTATGGCAAACAAAGATTCTTTGTCCTCGTTTGCTGCTGGGGATAGACCAAAGCAAGAGAGGACAGCTTTAGATTTGATCTTTACGGGATAAGTGATAGCAAACATGAAGTCAGGAGATTCAGATGATTCCTATACGGGTGGTCTCGGGGAATTTGGTTAGACAGCTCAGAGACTTGTGTGCTCTCCCCTTAGCAATGATATACCGTCCACATTTGAATATGACTTGGCCAATTCTCATTTCTCATAGATAGATTGAATCACCCTCGATTATTCGTTTGATATATACTCAAGCAGTGTCGAAGCCCTGGAAAGATTCGGGAACAACATGGCCCGGCTGAGTCATCCGCCAAGAAACCTTTCCGAACAGAAGTCGTTTGAACCTCCAACTTCACGGAAAGACGGATCAGACCTATTCTATTGAGAACCACCCCTCATTCTTCATCTACACCCTCAGTCAAGATGATGTCTCAGTCTCTCCGGGCCTCGGTGAGTATCTATCTACAGCTGTCTATTTCGATCCTCGACTAACGCGAAAAGCAGCGCACCCTCTTCTCCCGTGCCTCTCGGGCACAGGTCTCGGTCGCTCGCCGCACCTTCCTGACCTCCGCCGTCCGCCAGGGTACGTACTCTACCTAGGGACTATCTTCAATATTACCCAGATGTTCCTGCTATATCCATAGGTCGCATTCTCGCTAACCCGCAATCCGCCGCAGCCGACCCCGTTCAGGACCTGTACCTCCGCGAGCTCAAGGCCTACAAGCCCACTCCCCTCAAGGCCGGTGACGCCGACGAGCACGTCCAAAAGTTCACCGCCCCTAAGCCCCCCCAGTCTCCTGAGGAGGCCAACCTCGCCAGCGAATTGTCCGCCTACGAGAGCCAGGAGGTCGAGGTCGAGGGCCAGGCCGCCGCTGGCGAGGCCGCCCCCGTCGAGGAGAGCTGGTTCGAGGAGGAAGAGGAGGCCCCCGCTGCCCACTAAATTTCTCTTTCTTTTTCATTTAGCAAGGTCTGGGGAGATATGGGGGGAAGGCTGGCTTTAAATGCCTGCAATGCAACTAATGTGGCCGCCTCTCGAGGTCCTAAAGCTTGTAAATTAGACCACATTTTTGAACGTTGAGACTTCTTTTTTCCTTGATTCTCACCTTTCTATTTTTCGTCAAGGGCAGGACTCAAGAGTAAAGGTTTTCGCTTTGGAAGGGTGGCTGATACCCACCAAAGACAAGTTTGGTGGGTAACAGAGTAGGCTCATTCGTGGTACCTTGACCTCTTCGGTTGAAGGCGAAGAGCGGGGTTTGTAGTATTCAAATGTAGCGTTTCAAGAACAATGGTATACGCAGAGAAATATCTAGATGGTTGATCTGCATGGTTGACTACGTGACGGAGTACACAGTACAGGCAGCCCTAGAATCGAATCTTAACAGTCAACCATGATGACAAGAGCAGTGGGTTATCAATGCCTTGCATGTCGAGACGGTCTTGCTGGTTAGTACTTAGCTAGGTGATCGCTTGATGTACATAGGCAACATAAAGCAAACAGATAGCTTGGTTGGAACATGACATCGGACTGGTTTGCAAAATGTGCAGTGCATGGCTTAAGCAGGCTTATTGCCATGTTCATGCAATAATTGATCCGTTATCTGGTCAGAGCTCGGAAGTATATGCGATGTACTCCGTACGGAGTATGGATGTCCATATAAGGGAACTATTGGTACTGATTATTGGGATCTACTGCAACCGATACTGCGTAGATCAACATGTAAAGAACAGACCAGAAGTTCGTGAAAGCATTGCAATTGATCTGATACATCACATAGAATTCGATATCACCCCTGGAGGGAACAACCTTGGAACCAGGATGGCTGGCAAAGCTAAAGCCAAAGTTTAATAAAATTCCGGAAGGAATAAGAAACAAGACTATTCAAGTACTATTGTTACTCACTCCCAAGTCACTGTTGTCCATCTGGGGTCCTGATTTTCCTAACAGGGGGCGCAATGAAAAGATCGGTCGCCAAGGGCTTGTGCAATGTGATTCATGGTGTGTCAACAGGGCACTCGTACCCGGGAACCTAACATGCGGAGAAAGATAAAAGCAATGGGGACTATACCGCCATTTATAAGGTTATATCTGGAAGGTGATTGATTCCCTTTACAAGCGTCTTATGCCTCAAACCCCCTACAGGGCAGATTATGAAAGGTACTAGTGGAACTAGCCCCATATTTTGGAAATTAATTTGACCCTGATACGGAGTACAGATGCCGTGTGTAAAGCAATGTTGTTTCTTATACTCCGTATTCCGTAGTCCTATGATTAGGGGATAACATCAAAAAATTTGTCAAGGAATGCCAAAATAACTAATGGGTGATTAGGGTTGATGATACCATCGGAGCACAGCGAGGCGACATTATAACATTCCATGGCCAAGAATGAGATACGAGAGGTTCTGTACCGATGTACAGCTGTCATCGCCCAGTCGGTGAATTCTGCCCTATTATGTTCCGGAGAGGATGGATGCGATTGGCCCTATCGCCTGTAAAGACCTTGCAATTGGGGCTGAACAGAGAGCCCGATAACTTTACGAATCAGACTCGCTGCATGGCAGTGCATGCAGAGACCATGGACTCGAACTGACGCCGTGAGACTGTCTAGTATTACGCGATCATGATGGCTACAGAGAAGAAGAAGAGATCCGTGGAAGAAGAAGTGGAGTAGAGAAGAAAGATAGTCTATCAGCTAAAAAGAACCTGATCTTAATATGAAATGAGAATGCTACACGGAGCAATAATAGAGAATAAGATAATATTAAAATTGTCTCGAGTTAATTAACAAAAATAACAAAATAGAGCGAGTAGAGACAAATAGGGCAAATTGAGCAAATTGAGCAAATTGAACAAATAGAACACAACATTTTGTAAACTTTGGCATTTCCCCCTACTTGTTTTGATTTCTTTTCTTTTCCTTCTTCTTCTCTCTCCCTCACTTCCTCTTGATATTATCACCCCACCCTTTCGGACCCTTGTGCAGACGCCCTTGGGGGAGATTCCCCCGCCGATCACCTGCTGAATCAGGTGGCGCCCTTCTACCTAAGCGGCTGCATAGATCGATCCACCCCCGAAACTCCGTTATTCCTCCAGCGCTGGATATTACTGTTTTTTTTTTTTTCTCTCTACTTCTCTCTCTTGCTTCCTGATTTCCTATCAAAGTTGGCATTTCAGCATTGTGATTGTGCCTTGTTTGCCCTTCCCCAGATGCAGCGCGCCTGACCACTTCGACCTGGAACCTCCTGGTGCACAGAGGAGCTGGTCTCTTCTACGCTCAGAATCCCGATATTTACGGGGAAATGACCAAGAGATTCCCTCAATAACCGATCTGCCCTCTTTTTATCCTCTAGACAATGTCTTCACCCTCGCCCGAGACGAACGATGACCAGAACCCCGAGCTCTCTCGTGCCGCCAGCTATACCGATCTTCCTAGTCAAACAGCGACAGAACCCAGCTTAAGACGTACATTTTCTGATTATGCTGTTCCGACCTTGGCAGAATCACCGACAAAGGAAACCGTGGCTGCGGGGAAGGACATTCTCCGCCGGACCTCTCTTCGATCCAAGGACCAGTCGAAGCAAGCCTCCATCTCACAATTCACATTATCGTCATCAGAGGATTTGAAGGACACGGATTCATCTGTGCCCGAAACCAGGGCACCGGAGCCCGCTGCGAGGCCATCCAAGAGCCGATCAATGTCTGGAAGGATAGTCAGCCTTGCAAGGAAACCATGGGGCTCTTCCTCCCGATCTCCGTCCCCATCTGCGAAAAGGTCTAAACAGCAAGATTCTCAATCCCCAACTCGATTCAGCGGTCGAAAAACAGAAGACGATCAGACACAACCCTCCCGCAGGCGAACGATCCTCTACAAACGCCCGCGCCGGCCGATGCTGGCTGTTGTGGCCAAGGGCCCCGAAGATAGCCCCGGCTCTCCAAGCAGTCCATCTGGTAATTCGCTACGGCGCCGATCCTCATTCGAAAAATTCACAGCGTCACTCTCCGTTTCGACCCCGGTCTTACCACCTATGCCCAAGGGAGCTGCAGAAACAGCTGCGGCGTATGCGAATTCAGGCACCGATCATGCACGGAAAAAGGACGAGCTTTGGGGTATCTTCCGTGGCCTAGAGGCGGATTTCCAAAAGTATGTGCAATCACCTTAGCCATTCACATTGCAATTGCTGACCAGAGAACAGGTTTCAAGCCAAATCTAGCTCGCTGAAAGCCAACGTCATCCGTACCTCGCTCCTCCCTTTTCTCAGCCGCCATCATCTCCACGCATCATGCAAGAATCTCAGACCAGAAGACCTGGACCGTCGAGTCAATATTCTCAATAAATGGTGGATTGGAATGTTGGAGATGCTCAATGGTAAGCATAACCAGTCGATCTCGGGAACCGACAGACCAGTGTTCCTAGAAGCTATCGTGGGAATCATGGCTCGACCGGAATGGCGCATCCCCTTCCCCATGGCCCAGAATGGCAGTGGGCCTACGGAAT